AACATGATTTACGCGTGGGATTAGTTTGAAGAGATGGCAAAAATTCACGTGGATGTAATTTGCAGCACAGCATCAAGACTGCTTCATATTAACTCTTATGGCAGTTATTCACCTAGACCAACACTTTTCATGTTTGTTTGCAAAATCTTTATACCTGACAGGAAGTGTTTCACACTCCCACATCAGATTGCTATCATTTGCCGAACTGGCTGACTTGCAGTTTCCTTCAATGCATTGTTCCACGTCATAGAAGGAAGGGGAGGAGGAGGAGGAGATGAAGAACAAGAAACACTTACTCTTGCTACTCTGCGGTTGTTTAGTGGTCATTGAAGTGTCATTACTTCCTTGGTGCTTGTCTATGCTGGATTCTCGTGAATTTGGCTGTCCAACGAAGGGTCCCAGCCATGGCGACACGGTGCCTCCGACACCGAGTTCTACAGCAGTCGACCTTCTAAACGGCTCTGCGGTTGTTGTCAAAGTTGCGGTGACATTTACGGTATCTGTTGACTTTCCGGCGTGAAAACACCCCCATGTGCCTTCCACAGCTGCTTCATGGCGATCAATGATGTAACGAAACTTCCAAATGTTGTACATGTCTCGCACGAACAAGTCTTCAACGCATTCAACCGTGAAAAGCTTTGGTTTGTCGTTGCAATCCGGCAGAGAGCATACACGACGGCAGTTCTCGAAACACAACCGTGTTTCCGGTACTAGAGGGCAAAGCAGGTGAACCGAATGATCTTTGGAAGGTAGACTGACTTCACATGTTATGACGACGACATCAGCAGACTCATCCACGTAGAGAATGAACTCTCCGGGAATGGAAGGCGCCGCGTAGTTATTTAACGCGGTGGAAGAGGACGAGGAGATAGACGATGAAAACGAGGTGGAAGCGGAGGAGGACGAGGAGGAGGAGGAAGAAGAAGACGACGAAGAAGAGGGTGAAGTGATACTCTCATTCTCCATCCGATTTGCCGTTTTCTCGGCTGAGATGATTCCAAAAAATGCATCCAATTTGTCTGCAGTGTCTCCATTTGCGCCTGAAATGAAGAATTTGTACACAGTAAAGAGTTCCTACAGATTCACATTGTGTCCTTTAAACCCTCAAAACGCTCTTCTCATCACCATAAAATGCATTTATGGTG